ATGTCCCCAATGTCCCCTCGATGTCCCCCCGATGTCCCCAGGGCTGATGATCCGTCCCTGCACCGAGGGTCTCGATGTCACCTTCAACGTGAGCCAGAGCCAGACCTGGCACCAGTACGTGAGAGCCCTGCACCAGTTCCTGGAGCGTGAGTGCACTGGGAGGGACTGGGAGAGACTGGGAGGGGACAGGGAGGGAATGGGAAGGAACTGGGAAGGACTGGGCGGTACTGGGAGGGGAGTGGGAGGGAGTGGGAGGGGACTGGGAGGGGACTGGGATGGCCCAACTCCATACTGGGATGACTCTACCTATACTGGGATACAACAAACCCATACTGGGATGACCCAGCCCATACTGGGATGAACTGGGATGACCCAGCCCATACTGGGATGAACTGGGATGGCCCAACCTATACTGGGATGGCCCTAAGCCATACTGGGAGACAATTCCTCATACTGGGATGACATTATCCATACTGGGATGACCCTAACCCATACTGGGATGAACTGGGATGGCCATAACCTATACTGGGATGGCTCTAACCCATACTGGGATGGCTCTAACCCATACTGGGATGGTCCTAACCCATACTGGGATGAACTGGGATGGCCTTAACCTATACTGGGATGGCCTTAACCTATACTGGGTGAACTTGGATGATTTTACCCATACTGGGAGGACCCTACCCCACACAGGGATGACCCTAACCCATACTGGGATGGCTCTAAGCCATACTGGGATGAACTGGGATGGCCATAACCTATACTGGGATGGCTCTAACCTATACTGGGATGGTCTGACCCATACTGGGATGGTCCTAACCCATACTGGGATGAACTGGGATGGCTCTAACCCATACTGGGATGGCTCTAACCCATACTGGGATGACTTTACTGATACCAGACCACAACGAACCCATACTGGGACACCCCAAACCCGCTCCCAGTTGTGCTCCCAGTCCGTACTGGTGAGCACTGGGCGATCCCAACCCCTCCCCTGTCCCAGCGTACAACGACAGCGTCCAGGCGTGGCGTAACGCCGCCTGCGTGCCGGGCCGTTACAACGAGCAGCCGGACGACGGCGTCCCCAACGTCCCCAAGCGCGCCTGCCGCTTCAACCGCTCCCTGCTGGGACCCTGCGCCGGCCTCGCGCCCCACGGCGACTACGGCTACGGCCACGGCCAGCCCTGCGTGCTGGTCAAGGTCAA